GCCGCTGCTGCGTTATTCATTCAAAATATTAGAGAAATATAGAAGCTCAATGCGGAGAAGATCTTGAATGGGTTAAAACCGAAACCAAGCCATTCACACAACATATTCAGCACATTTTTTAGACGGACAAATACGACTGCTGCACTATAAAAATAACTCCAATTAAATAGCTCTTTGTTTTACTTTTTAAAAAAAAAAGTCAATAATTATCGATACCGAACGATATGAAACATTATATCGTTGATACATTTTATACATTTTTTATATCGCCCAGCCCTACTGTCTGTAATGTGAAAGTAATTCTGAACACCTAATTAGCTTGTTCAGGGGATTCATGCTAGACTCAGCAGGACACTGGCACTCCAGATCTGAATTATTTTCAGTATGGAGTGAACTTATCAACATTTCACTCGAATTGTTTAGGTATAATAGATATAACAATGTAGTACATGTATATCGTGCATCCCTGTGTCTCTTTGTGACGACCAGGTAGGGGTGGGCGATATGGCGATCTTTTTGTTTTAGTTTTTTTCTCCAGGAAAATCACGATTCACAATTTTATCACGATTCTTTATCATGGTGGCTTTACTATTTTGCGAGTTGTCTGAGCAGTGCAGCCAAACGAATTCCCCTGTTTTAAAACCAAAGCCATACAATGTAACAATGTAAAATAAAAAAGAATATTTTTGCAGATATTTAGGCCAAAGTGGACAACGATAAAAATATTTGTCATTATTTTATCTTTGTTATTAAAAAATAAGAACAAACATACAAATTACAAATACACATACTATACAAATAAAACAAACAGTGCTTTATTTTTCAGGTACAGTAGGTGTATTTAGCAGTAGCATTCAAGAAACTGAATGAACAAATATAAATATAAAACACTATACACTTTACTGTATAAATTATACATTGATTCTTATTAAAGCAACTGTATTAAAGTTCTTCAGTCAAGAGCAGTGAGTGATTTTTCTCTTTGTGCTTTGTTGTTTTATTTGGAGGCCTGCAAGCCCGTCGGGTCCCGAGTCCATTCGGGCCAGGCTCGTGGCCCCTTTTTTTTTTTTTTTTTTTTTTTTTAGACATTAAAGACATAACATGCAACATTTACAACTTTAACAAGACATCCAAAAAGATAACACAATTAAAGGAATGGGTTTACATTACATAGAAAAAAAAAAATAAATAAAAATC